CGGCTACCGCAAGCCCCCGAACTACGACTCCCGGCAGGCATCGGGCCGCAGTCCTCCCCGCGTGCGCAGCAGGCTGGGCTCCGGGCGGGGGCCAAGAGCAGAGCGACAGCCGGAGAGCGGCCGTGGGAGGCGGCGGGCGCGGGACGTGTGGCCCCCATTGCCGAGCGGCAACCGCCGGCGCAGTGACCATGATAGGTACGTGGTGCCTGCCAGGTACATCGTCTGTGCGCCGCCGTGCCGCGCGGGGCCGAGGGCCCAGGTGTCCGAGTGCCCGAGTGACACCTGTCAGTGGCAGAGGACAGGTGCCCACGCCGCTGGGGCTCCTGTCCCCGCGGACACGCCGGGCCCGTGGTCTCCGCTCTGCTCCCAGACACAAGTGTGTGACCTCGCCCTCCTGCGGGCGAGCAGTCCCTGAAGATAGCTAGCCGGGACAGCAGCCAGGCTGGCGCTGGTGTGGCCACCGCCCTCAGATGACCAGTTGACGCCCTTCCCCCAGGGACCATGTGAGCGCCTACTTCTAGAGCCCCATGGACGCTGCCTGCCAGGCCAGGGTCATTAGAGTTTTTGTCCCACCCAGGTGTCTCTGCCCAGGTGTCCCCCCACACACCTTGCCCAGGTGTCCTACCCAAGTACCCCTATCTCCATGCGCAGGTGTCCTCTCGAAGGTGTCCCTGCCCAGGTGTCCCCTTCACCTTGCTTAAGTGTCCCCTCCCCTTGCCTAGGTGTCCTTCCTCCCTTGTCCAGGTGAGCGCATCTGGTTGTCTCAATTTAGGACGTTTTGTGACCTGTCAGGGTGACTCTATGGGAAAACCTAGAGTCGTAGAACTCCCATGGAAGCTGAAAGGTTGGGTCAAAACTTTCCCTTGTGTGGATTTACACTCTTGCGCCCTAGATACTCTCTCCTAGTCTGCACCAGAAGTCTGAAAGGAAAGAATAATTGGCAGTATGAACAGCAAAGATCAAATCTTCTACATTTTTCATCAGGAATTAATATGCACATAGATGGACTATTCCTGAACACAGAATGACCCAGATGTCATGCTGTGAAGGAAGCTTTGGAAGTGGGCATTTAGAGTTGCCTCTGTGTACCCCACAGTGTTTCAGGAGGAGGTCTGGTGCCATAGTGCTTACACACTGGGCTACTAACTGAAAGGCCAGCAGTTTGAAATTACCAACCTCTCCTTAGAAGAAAGTTGAGGCTGTCTACTGTGAAGAGTTACAGTCTCAGAAACCCACAGGGTCAGTTATACCCTGACCCATAGGATTGCTATGAGTTGGAATCGATGGCATTGAGTTTGGTTTTCTTGGTTTATGGTATTAAAGATGACCAAAGAGCTTCTCTTCCAGGGTTGTTAAAGGTGGAGTTAGCCCTGAGCATTGGTGGAAATGCACAGTGGGATTAGAAAAACGTGTTCATTTGGGGGACTTATAGCAGGAACTTGTTTCAGGGGTTGCATTGGGGGTTGGGGAGACTGTCGGGATTATGTCACTTTCAAACACCTTTGAATGCAGCAGGTACATCTGAACTTGGGTATGGACTGTCCGGCACCATGTGTGGTGGATGCGTAAAACACCTTAGTTTGTGTCTCAGTTTCCTAGGTTGGTATAACTGAAGTACCACAAGCTAATAGCTTTCAGGAATAGAAACTTATTTTCCCACAGTTCTGATAAGGCACCATACACAGAATAAAATGGACTCAGAACAACCCTATGGAACAGAGTAGAAGAGCCCCTTGGGTTTCAGAAACTACAGGTCTTTACAGGAGCAAGAAAATCCAACACAAGCTCACTCCCGTGGAGTTGATGCTGACTCATAGTGACCCTATAGGACAGCACAGAACTGTCCCTGTGGGTTTCCAAGATTGCAACTCTTCATGGGAGTAGAAAAGCCCTCCCTTTCTCCTGTGGAGCGGCTGGTGGTTTGAACTGCTGACCTGGCAGTTAGCAGCCCAATTCTTAGGCTCAATGCCACGGGGCTCCCTTACAGGGGCAGAAAGCCTCATTTTCCATCCTTGCAGTGACCGAACTACTGATCTGTGGTCAGCCGTTCCATGTGTGAGCTTCAAAGCCACAGGAGGATTTAACATTGCAAAGCAAACCTTATTTCCCCAAGGGGTCACTTCCTGAAAGACTGGGGTTAGGGTCCCAACACAGATTTTGGAGGGCGCACTTAACCGTCTGTATAGGAGAAAAATTACAGTCTCAGAAATCCACAGGGGCAGTTCTTCCCTTCACTGCCATTTACTCTATGGCAGGGAGAGTATTCACAGATAAGCATTTGTTCTTTGTACTTGCTCTCTAGTTGATTCCAGGAAGAATCCTGCTGGTGGAGCGGGTTGAACATTAAACTGCTAACTTTGAGGTTGGTAGTTCAAAACCAGGAGCTGCTCTACAGGAGGATGCCTATTCCTGTAAAAATTTACAGTCTCAGAAAACCCTTCTGGGCACCTCTGCTCTCTGAGGTGGAATTGTCTGGATGGCAGTGGGTTTAATAACCGAACTAAGCCAGGATGGGCTTCTCAATTCCAACTCGACCTTTAATACCAGACAATGCATAGAAGCAGGTGATACCAGGGCAGGTTCCTCTTGAAGGCATGAAATGAGCGAAGCAACATCAGCTATTTTATTTTATATATTTGGTTTTTCCGCCTCCTTCTGTTAGTGGACACATTCTGATAAGAAGCGTAATAGCCAGTTGTGAACTTTTCGTGGTTGAGCAGTGCAAAAAGCAAGAGAAAAGGAGTGGATATGATTAAGGGGAAGTGGCTTGCTTGATGTCCTGTTTATGTAGGCAGCATGTGGGCTCAGGGAAGGCATTGTCTCTACCTGTCAGGTGGTCAGGATACTCATAAGCGCACTGTGTACCTGGGGCCTGTTTTCTTTGTTAGAGACAGGAGGTTTCGGTAAAGAGCCCCTGTTCTTGCTGCCTGTGCGCTTCTCCTGACTCACCACATCTTCTTGGCTGTACATATAGAACTACACTTTACTCCTATCTCTGTGCCCTCTGAAAAGGAAAAAAGAAGAAGAACCAAAAGGTGGGGACCTTAGCAGGCTATGGCAGAAAGGGGATTGCCAAGGAGCTTACCACCAATCAATCACCTTCCCTTTTTAATTTCTCAAAACGCCAAGTGGTGCCTAGACTTTCTTGAGCACTTTCATCCCCCGATTGGATTATGACTGTTCTGTTACAGCCCCAGGCCCACCCAGTCGTAGAAAGAGTTTGGTTGAAGTCGATGGAAAACGTGACTTTGGGAGAAAGGTTTCAGGATGCTGCAGAGCAGAGTGGGGGAGTTTAAGAAAGCAGCCTTTACAAAACTGCCTTCATGCGCACCTCTTTAAAAAAAAAACCAAAGTAAGACATTTTCCATTCAATTTCTAGAACTTGTGTCATGTTGAAGATTTTCTGTTTCAATTTCTATCCGAAGACCTATGATTACACACTAAAAGCCAGGAGTCATATCTGTGCTGTGTCCTAAATGCCCTATGGTACCGAATTTAGGGATTTGGGTTACACACATGAAAATATATGAAGCCAAGCTGCGAGTCTGGAAATTTGCATTTAATGTCTTATATTTCTAAGTTACTTCATTAATTGGGACATACCTCTGCTGAACCTTATGCAGCTGAAATGGTTTGGGAGAACTTACATATCTCCATGTACAAGTATACCCCCAGTGCTGACTGCTTGGGTGTTTATGATGTGGGTGTACATGATTGTGTAAATACCCACGGAGGGACGGGCAGTCCAGAGGCTCACAGACAGGAGCTCTCACCAGGAATTCTCACATGAGCATTTTTGTGCCCACAGTTTTCTCTTGTGTATGCAAACATGCATAAAAGCTGAAAAATCTCCGTCCCTTTCATGGATGGATGCTGAGCTCAGATGGCTGCCTCTAAAGTTCCTAAAAGAGGTGCCCACTGCTGGCGTATTCCCCATTAGCCTCCCCTGGTCCTGGGTAGCAGTGAGATGCGCTGCCACCGGCAAAGAGCGCAGGGCTCACTCAGCTCACAGCGGCACAGCACCTGCTGAATTCCACCTACCACCTGCCTGGGCTTCATGCCTGTGAACAGTGCACACACTGCTCAACTGTCCTAGCCATCTCTCTCTCCCCCACAGCCTATATACCAACGGATGTCCTCCCCGGATGTGCACCCTCACCTCCCCCTTCCCTTGTGTCACTCAGATAGAGAAAAAGTGGCATTTTCACAAAATAATAATAATAAGAGTCCTTGGAGGCAAAACCTTCCATGTCTCCTTTGCTAACGCTTCATTCTCCTGAAACCAGGCCCAGCATGGGACCCCTATCCTGTGCTCATCAGGGTTCTAGGTGTCCAGGAAAAGAACCAGAAAGGAGAGAGGCAGAGTAGCTGCCACCCTGGGTGCCTGGCCGAATACCGACTGGCCCACCAGTCTGTCCTTGTGTTCTCAAGCTCTGTGTGGTGGGTTTTAACTGCTGGGGATTTATGTGGATAGCTGAATCCACTAGGCCAGCTCCACTTGCCGTGCCATTTCAAAAGATGCAGAGGAAAAACTGTCTACAGACCGGCCCCACGCTTTGAAACTTTCTTTTCAGGATGAGACTCAGTCACAAAGGAGAGTTTGGGAAACTTGTCATTCCTTATAGATTTCATTCGTGTACCTCGGACTCCAAGGTGCCCCAGAGACAGCCACCTGCCTTCTGTCCCC